GTTTTATCTGTTGGACATTTATGCTGCCTACGTTTTTGTGGAAGGAAAGGCAAATTGGAGGTCAGATGTAAATTAGGGCTTTAATGAGATACATGGAAATAGCATAGTTGCTACTTACTGCAGAGTTTCTGAAGTTGACACAGAAGACTTCAGGAAAATCAGGAAGATTTTTCTCAATATTGAGAAACTGATTTTCATTCATACTTTGTCACCAAGCTTGTCATTACTCTCGCCACAACGGGGAGGAAAAAATTCTGCCCTAATTGCTGAAATACTAATTCTCTACACCTATCTGGAAAATATTTTGCAATTCATATGATTCCAGGGAAGTAATTTGAAAGGTTTTTTTGTGCTTTATGTCTACCATCCTGTTTCTAGAGGGCTAGGCAGATGGATAGGCATTTGGACGATATGTGTGAAAGTGGAAAACTGGTACAGTACTCTTAAGGTTAGTTGGTTGTTGACAGAGGAGAGGAAGCTTTGCTTTTAGCTCCGTGTTGTCAGTCATTAAGCGTATGTGGCTAATTGTATTTCTAATTAGTAAATAAAAATGAGTAACACACAATTGTTGAACATGCAATCTCAATACTCATTAGCATGGCATACGAATATGCAAAAAGTACTTTGAAATAAACCAGCTCTCGTGTTTTTTTTAAATCTCATGTAGCATTTTATAGCTGTGCTGTATGGCACTTTCTTTCTTTCCAGGAACTACCAGAAGAAGAAATCTTTGTATTTTTCTACCGTCATTTCTCAGTGCATCAAAATGATGGATTTTTTTTTTCTTTATTCATTCACTGGTGTCACCAACTGGCATTGCTGGTGAGGCAGCATTTATTGCCCATCCCTAATTGGCCAGAAGGCAGTTAAGATTCAACCACATTGCTGTGGATCTGGTGTCACATGTAGGCCAGATAAGGTAAGGATGGCAGTTTCCTTCCCTAAAGGACATGGGTGACTTTTAAAGACAATTGACAATGGATTCACAATCATCATTAGATCCTTGATTCCAGATATTTATTGAATTGAAATTCCACCATCTGCCATGGCAGGGTTTGAACCTGGGTCCCCAGAACATTATCTGGGTCGCTGGATTAATAGTCCAATGATAATACCATTAGGCTGCTGCTTCCCCTAAGTATGCTAGCATGAAAAAACATCCTCCATTTCACTAAATATTGACAGTATCAATCACTGTCTGGTTTAATGTAGCATCAATAGACTACCTTTGTCCAAAATAAATTGCTGACTTACCCCATAGCTATGTTGACAGTTTTAGCTACATGGGTATTAGTCAAAAATTCACACATTGTAGGTGGATGTACACCTTTATTTAAGAAACATCTACTAATCTTCAGTAACCAAAGAACTAAAGAAGTCACAAATGATAAGTAACACTCATGTACTTTGCTCTGTGTCATAATATTTTACCAACAAAAACAATCCAAAGAGGGATCATATTGAACTCAAAACATTAACTCTGTTTTTCAGAGATAGTAGGAACTGCCAATGCTGGAGTCTGAGATAACAAGGTGTAGAGCTGGGTGAACACAGCAGGCCAGTCAGCATCAGAGGAGCAGGAAAGCTGATGTTTCGGGTCTGGACCCCTCTTCAGAAATGGGGGAGGGGAAGGGGACTCTGAAATAAATAGAGAGGGGGGTGGGAGCGATGATGGAAGGTGGATTAGGGGAGCAGATAGGTGGAGAGAAGATGGACAGGTCAAGGGGGCGGGGATGAAGCCAGTAAAGGTGAGTGCAGGTAGGGAGTTGGGATGGGGGGTTGGTCAGTGGGGAGGGAGGAGCAGGTAGGTGGGAGGGAAGACAAACAGGTCAAGGAGGCGGGGACGAGATGGGCTGGTCTTGGGATGAGGTCAGGAGAGGGAAGATTTTGAAGCTTGTGAAGTCCACATTGAGACCATTGGGCTGCACGTTTCCCAAGTGGAATATGAAGTGTTGTTCCTCCAGCCTTTGGGTGGCATCGTTGTGGTACTGGAGGAGGCCCAGGAAGGACATGTCATCCAAGGAGTGGGAGGGGGTGTTGAAGTGGTTCACGACTGGGAAGTGTAGTTGTTTGTCATGAACCGAGCGTAGATGCTCCACAAAACTCTGTTTTTCTTTTTTTTTGGAGAGACTGTTTCTCTCCAAAGTTGCTGACAGATTTCTCAGTTTCTGTGGTAGTTCTGTTTTTTTTTAGATTCTCAGCATCTGCAGTACTTTGCCATTATTTAAAAGACATATATATGTGTGTGCTACCCAAGGTCCTCTGGTGAAGTGGCAGTGTCTTAACCTCTGGGCTAGATAGTCTGGGTGCAACTCCCACCTGCCCTCGAGGTGCATTAGAAAAGGATCAAAGGATATGGTAACATGGCAGGAAAGTGGAGTTAATTATTTCTTTACCATCAGATCAGCATTGATCTCATTGAATGGTGCAGCAAACTTGATGGGCTGAATAGCCTACCTCTAGTCTATGCCTTATGCAACTGACCAGGAGACTCTCCCACTCTTTGTGTCTGCCATGGCATAGGCATATTGGGAAGATTTACAGATTTGGCCATGAATGCACCGTCCATACTCATTACACCATGGAACTGGACTTGTACCCAGAGCTTTTAGTTTAGAAGCCAGGATACTACCCACTGCAATTCAAGACCTCCTCCCCTATGAAAAGATTTTTAAAAAAACACGCTCAGACAGCTTTAGCTTTGCATAAATTTCTGAGAAATGATGACTGTTCATAAGAATACACGTAATCACAAAAGCAAGTGCACACTCATATATGTGAGCATAATAAAGTAGAATAATGAGTCCAGATGACCAGAAAAATCCAGCCAGATATCAAGGAAGGATACAAATCTTTGGTAAAGATACGAGCAAACATACATTCAGTAACAATGTAACATGCTGTGAAAAAAAGAAGTCCCAGTCTATCCAGCCTATTTTTAAGGACACAATGTACTCAGGAACCAGTGGAATTTATCAGTGATGTATATCCAATCAATTGCTAATTGATAATGTTTCAGACTATCTTTATAATTATGCCAGGAAGCTATCTAACATGTATGTATTGTTCTGTTGTTGTGACTGTTCTTTGTTTAATATACACGACAAATGATCTGTAACCAAAAGCATATGCAGATATGCTAAAGAGAACAGGAGTAGGCTTTTCAGCCTCTCAAGCCCAATATGCCATTCAATAAAATCATGGCTAATCTGCTTACAACCTCAAATTTGTAATCTTGCCTCACCTTGATTCATCCCCTTACTGCTGCCTTAAAATATTCAAGGTTTCTGCTGCCACCATCTTTTCAGGAAGAACATAGAATATAGAACATAGAACAGTACAGCACAGTACAGGCCCTTCGACCCACGATGTTGTGCCAACCTATTATCCTACTAAGATCAATCTACCCTGCATACCCTACATTTTACTGTTCTCCATGTGCCTTTCCAAGAGTCGCTTAAAAGTCTCTAAAGTATCTGACTCCACTACCACTGCCGGCAGCGCATTCCACATGCCCACCCCTCTCTGTGTGAAGAACCTACCTCTGACATCTTCTCTATACCTTCCTCCAGTCACCTTAAAATTATGTCTCCTCATAATAGTCATTTCCGCCCTGGGAAAAAGTCTCTGACTATCACTGTATCTATGCCTCTCATCATCTTGTACATCTCTATCAAGTCACCTCTCATCCTTCTTTGCTCCAATGAAAAAAGCCCTTGCTCCCTCAACCTTTCCTCATAAGACCTGCCCTCCAGTCCAGGCAGCATCCTCTCCTCTGCACGCTTTCTAAAGCTTCCACATCTTTCCTATAATGAGGTGATCAGAACCAAACACAATATTCCAACTGTGGTCTAACCAGAGTTTTATAGAGCTGCAGCATAACCTCACAGCTCTTAAACTCAATTCCCCTGCCAATGAAAGCCAACACACCATACGCCTTCTTTACGACCCTATCAACTTGGGTAGCAACTTTGAGGGATCTATGGACGTGGACCCCAAGATCCTTCTGTTCCTCCACACTGCCGAGAATCCTGCCATTAACCCTGTATTCTGCATTCAAATTCGACCTTCCAAATTGAATCACTTCACACTTTTCTGGGTTGAATTCCATCTGCCACTTCTTTGCCCAGCTCTGCATCCTGTCAATGTCCTGTTGCAACCCACAACAGCCCTCCACGCTGTCCACAACTCCCACCAACCTTTGTGTCATTGGAAAACTTACTAACCCAAGAGTTCCAAAAACTCATTACCCAATGAAAGAATTTTTTTGCCTAATTTCTGTTTTAAATTAGTGACCCCTGATAGGGTTAAACAGTGACTTCTAGTTCCATAATCTTCCATAAGAGGAAACATTCTCTCCACATCAAAACACCCGGCACATATGTTTCAATCAATCATTTCTAAATCTCAGATTATGCCACACAAACACTATTTGACAGGGGAGGTGGTAACTGTTTCCTTTATTTTTTTTCCCTTGTTATCTCATTCAAGATCAATAGCTGATAGCTTCCCTTGCTGCATATTTGAGGTCAGGAACTCACTGTGTAAAGGAAAACAAAATTGTGAATTACTCCCAGAGGTATAGTCAATAAGTCCCAAGTAGCTGAAGTGTAAATCATGCACCCATATTGATCACAAGATGAGGGGATGATATTCTCAATATGGATGAAAATTCTCAAATTCTTGTGTGCCAAATTAAAAGATCTAAAGGAATTGAAATTGCATTTGGGGAAATTTATCCAAACTTGAGATCAGAGGTTTTCATTTCAGTTCTAAACTTTTTACTAGTCCTTTAAGACCAAGTAAAACAAGAAGACAATGAAATTGACAGAAATATAATCAGTTATAAAATGCTTTAAAGTGCATCTATATTAATTAGAAAATTTTGAGAGTTGGATACTGCCTGAGGATATAAATCTGAACTAAGCATATTTACATTAGCCAGTGGTTAATGCTTGTTAAATCTTTTGTATTTTGTTCTTCCTTTGTGCCTACTTAAGGGTGAATTGCTGAGTCCTTGTCGATGTGATGGCTCAGTACGTTACTCTCACCAACCATGCCTTTTGAAGTGGATTAGTGAAAGAGGGTCATGGAGCTGTGAGATTTGCTGTTACAGATACCATGTTGTGGCAATACGAATGAAAAGACCCTGTCAGGTAAACAGTCATCATATGAAGTATTAATTAATATAGGCCACTTCAATCATTGGCTCAGATGTCTGTATCTCAGGAAAGCTTTTATGTCAAGAATAGTAAGTGATAATGGTAGACATGGCTGATGCTAATTAGTTTTACTTGTACACCTTTACTATCCAGTGAACTTCGTTTAGAAGATTCACATGTAGTCACTGCTCACAATGGTGGACTATCCAAAATATTGAGAGTAAGTCTGCAGTTAGTTCATCAAATGGTGACACAGCCTCAAATTAGAGTATTCTTCAACTGTCCAGAAGGGTAAGATCTGAGCATGAGAATGTGACTGTTGAATACAATAAAGATGTGTCAAATAGCCAAGTATGTACCAATATTACGTTTCTTCCTAGTGTAATTATAGCTTATTTTAAAATAACGAGCAATGACTTATATGGAATATGAAAGAGAGCAAACTGAGTTAAAGCTATATTGTCTCACATTAGTATTAAAGACCTGAAAAGATTCATAGAACAAATAACAAAGAACAAAAAACAGTACAGCACAGGAACAGGTCTCGCGGCCCTCCAAGCCTGCGCTGGCACGTTTTGCCCTTCCATACTAAAACTATCTTCCTTTACAGGATCCATATCCTTCTATTCCCTTCCTATTCGTGTATTTGTCCAGGTGCTTATTAAATGCTGCTATTGTGTCTGATTCCACCATCTCCTCTGGCAATGTGTTCCAGGCACTCACCACCCTTTGCGTGAAAAACTTGCCTTGCAAATCTCTTTTAAACTACCCAGCCCCAACACCTTGAACCTGTGTCCCCTAGTAATTGACTCCTCCACCATGGATAAAAGCCTCATACTTTCCACTCTATTCATGCCATTCACAATGTTATAAACTTATATCAGGTCGCCCCTCAACCTCCTGAGTTACAGTGCAAACAAACCCAGTCTATCCAACCTTTCTCCATAGCTAAAATCCCCCATACCAGGCAGCATCCTGATAAACCTTTTCTGTACCTCTCTAAAGCATCCACATCCTTCTGATAGTGTGGTGACCAGAACTGTACACAATATTCCAAGTGTTGCCTAACGAAAGTTCCATAAAGCTGTAACGTAATTCGCCTGTCGTTATACTCAGTGCCCCTTCCAATGAAAGCAAGCATGCCATAGGCCTTTTTTACTACCTTATCTACCTGGACTGCCACCTTCAGTGACCTATATTTATGTATTCATATAATGTGGACATCACTCTCGAGGCTAATCCTAATTGCCATTGGGAGGATGGCAGTGAGCTGCCTACTTGAACCTCTGCTGTCCATTTATTATAAGTATAACCATGGTATTGACAAATGAACATACAAAATAGGAGCAGACAAGTAGACCATTTGGCCCGAGAGCCTGATTTACCATTCAATATGATCCAGCACAATCTGTTTGTACTTCAAATCTGCATTACCATTAACTACTGATAATCCCCTCACTCTTCTAAACTCCAGCGGAAATAAGTGCAGCTTGTCCGACCTATCTTCGTAAGACAACCTGCTCATTCCAGGTATCTATCAAGTAAACTGCCTTTGAGCCATCTCCAATGCATTTACATCCTTCCTTAAATGACACATGTCCAAAACTTCACATAACATTCAAGATGTGGTCTTATCAATGCCCCGTGTGACTGAAACATAACACTGCTACTTTTATATTTAATTCCCATCATATTTTATTATCTATTTATGGGATGTGAGCATTGCTGACCAGGCAAGCATTTACTGCCTAGTTGGCCTTGATAAAGGTGGTGGTAAACTATCTTCTTCAACTAATGCAGTACATCTACTATAGATAGACCAACAATGCCGTCAGGAAGGGAGTTCCAAGATTTTAATCCAGTGACATTGAAGTAAAGGCGATATATTTCCAAATCTGGAACTGTCTAAGAAGTCTGAGTGAATTTCCACAGAGCATCTTGTAGATGGTACAAAATGCTCTTACTGAGCATTGATGGTGGAGAGAGTGAATGTTGTTTAATCAAGTGAACTGCTTTGTCCTACATTGTGTCAAGCTTCTTGATTATTGTTGGAGCTGCACTCATCCAGGCAAGTGGGAAAGATTCCATCACACTCATGATTTGTGCCTTGTAGATAGGGAAAAGGTTCTTGGGAGTCATGAAGTAAGTTACTAGCTGCAGGATTTCCAGACCCTGTCCTGCTTTTGTATCCACTGTATTTATATGGCCAGTCCAGTTCAGTTTCTATTCAAATGTAACCCCACAGGATGTAGATAGTGGGGAATTCAGTGATTATAATGCTGTTGAATGTAAAGGGATGATGGTTAGATTCTCTCTTGTTGGAGCTGGTCATTGCCTGACAGTTTTGTGTCATGAATGTTACTAGCTCGTTCTCAGCTGGATATTGTCTAAGTATTGCTGCATTTGGTCATGTACTGCTTCAGTATCGGAGGAATTCCAAATGATGCTGAACATTGTGCAATCATCAGCAATCATCCCCACTTCTTATGGGGATGATAATTGATAAAGCAGCTGAAGATGGTTAGTTACAGGACATTACCCTGAGGAACTCCTCTAGAGATATCATGGAGCTGAGATGACTGACTTCCAACAACATAATCACCTTCCTTTGTGCCAGATATTCAGTAGAGGAGCAGCTTGAGAACAGTGATCACAATTCAGTAAGCTTTAAAGTACTGATGGATAAAGATGGGTGTAGTTGTCAGTTGAAGGTGCTAAATTCGGGGAAGGCGAATTACTACAAATCAAGGAAGGAACTGAGGAATCTAGATTGGAGGCAGATGTTTGAGAGCAAATCAACAAATGGTATATGGGAGGCTTTCAAGTCTAAGTTAATGGGAACTCAGGACCGGCACGTTTCTGTAAGGATGAAGGATAAGTATGGCAAGTTTAGGGAACCTTGGATAACAAGAGGTATTGTAAGCCTAATCAAAAAGAAAAAGGAAGCATTTATCAAGGCTAGGAGACTGGGAAGCATGAAGCGAGGGTGGAATACAAGCAAAGTCAAAAGAAACTTGAGCAAGGAGTCAGGAGGGATAAAAGGGGTCATGAAAAGTCATTGGCCAACAGGATTAAGGTAAATCCCAAGGCTTTTTATGCATATCTAAAGAGCAAGAGGATAGCCAGAGAGAGGGTTGGCCCAGTCAAGGACAGGGAAGGGAATTTATGTGTGGAGCCAGAGGAAATGGGTGAGGCATTAAATGAGCACTTTGCATCAGTATTCACCATGGAGAAGGACTTGGTGGATAATGAAGCTGGGGAAGGACGTGTAGATAGTTTGGGTCATGTTGAGATCAAAAGGGAGGAAGTATTGGGGGTCTTGAAAAACATTGATGTAGACATGTCCCCAGGGCCTGATGGGATATACCCCAGAATACTGAGAGAGGCAAGGGAGGAAATTGCTGGGGCCTTGAGGGAAATCTTTGTATCCTCACTGGCTACAGGGGAGGTCCCAGAGGATTGGAGAATAGCCAATGTTGTTCCTTTGTTTAAGAAGGGTGGTCAGGATAATCCAGCTAATTACAGGCCGGTGAGCATTATGCCAGTGGTTGGGAAATTATTGGAGAGGATTCTTCAAGGCAGGATTTACTCCCACTTGGAAATCAGTGGGTGTATTAGCAAGAGGCAACATGGTTTTGTGAAGGGGAGCTCGTGTCTCACTAAATTGGTTGAGTTATTTTGAGAAAGTGACAAAGATGATTGATAAGGGTAGGGCAGTGGATGTTATCTACATGGACTTCAGTGAGGCCTTTGACAAGGTCTCTCATGTTGATACAGAAGTTAAGTCGCACTGAGTCAGGGTGAGCTTGCAAGATGGATAAAACACTTGCTTGGTCATAGAAGACTGAGGGTAGCAGTGGAAGGGTGCATTTCTGAATGGAGGGCTGTGACTAGTGGCATTCCTCAGGGATCAGTTTTGGGACCATTGCTATTTCTAATATATATAAATGATTTGGAGGAAAATGTAACTGGTCTGATTGGTAAGTTTGCTGATGACACAAATGTTAGTGGAATTGTGGATAGCGATGAGGACTGTCAAAGGATACAGCTAGTTATAGATCAGTTGGTGACTTGGGTAGAGAGATGGCAGATGGAGTTTAATCCAAAAAAATGAGAGGGGTAATGCATTTTGGAAGGTCTAATCCAGGTGAAAAATATACAGTAAATGGCAGAACCCTTAAGAAAACTGATCGGCAGAGGGATCTGCGTGTAAAGAGTACACAGGTCACTGAAAGTGGCAACGCAAGTGGCGAAGGTAATCAACAAGGCATATGGTATGCTTGCCTTCATTGGCCGGGGCATTGAGTTTAAAAATTGGCAGGTAATATTGCAGCTTTATAGAACCTTAGTTAAGCCACATTTGGAATATTGTGTTCAATTCTGGTCGCCCCACTACCAGAAGGATGTGGTAGCTTTGGAGAGGGTACAGAAAAGATTTACCAGGATGTTGCCTGGTATGAAGGGCATTAGCTATGAGGAGAGGTTAGAGAAATGTGGGTTGTTCTCACTGGAATGACAGAGGTTGAGGGGTGACCTGATAGAGGTCTACAAGATTATGAAGGGCATGGACAGAGTGGACAGTCGGAAGCTTTTTCCCAGTGTGGAAGAGGCAGTTACCAGGGCCCATAGGTTTAAGGTGCGAGGGCCAAGGTTTAAGAGTGATGTACAAGGCAAGTTTTTTATTACACAGTGTGGTGGGTGCCTAAAACTCGCTGCCGGAGGAGGTAGTAGAAGCAGATACTATAGTGACTTTTAAACAGTGTCTTGACAAAAATATGAATAGCATGTGAATAGAGGTATATGGTCCTCGGAAGGGTAGGGAGTTTTAGTTGTGACAGACAGCATGTCGGTGCAGGCTTGGAGAGCTGAAGGGCCTGTTCCTGTGCTGTAATCTTCTTTGTTCTTTGTTGTTCTACGTGAGTCCAAGCAACACAGAGTTTTCCCCTGATTCCCATTCACTCCAGTTTTGCTAGGCATTCTTGATGCCACCCTCG